TGGGTGGGGAGTGAGATTAGCAGCCAGCAGTTGACGTTATTGGGTCAATGTTATCATGTATTCTTCACTCGATTTATTCCAGATTATATGGCTTTTCGTTGGGCTTACAATAGGATTTGTCGTTCTACCTAAGAAGCTGAATTAAAAAGCTGAACTTCGCTTGAAATGAGTTGTAAAAATTAGTACTTTTATTGAAACTATGGTATTCCATTTAGTATATGGCTACTCCATGGGCTGGGATTGCATTTTTTGCCAAAATGTTAGCTCGAAATGGGTTGTAAAATTATTACTTGTTGAAATTATTGGTAATTTATTTAGCTAATGGTTATACATCTAAGAAAATAAGATAACTTTATCTGCACCACTGGAAAGAGAAGCGAAGACGCTATTTCCATTTTTAACCGGAAAAATATTGAAAATTTATCAGGATAGAAGATGGCCATTAATTTCATTATGGTTCCTTTGGAAGTTCTTGTTCGGTGTATGATATTTTCATAGTCTGTCGTGGTTGTGAGCATAATTAGATGGCTCAGTTGCATTTAGTTTTAGCTAGCTTCAGTTGTCAATCTTATGCTGGTTGTCTGCTCTTTCTAACAAATTCTTTTGGTAAAATTACCAAGATTCATGTAATCTGTTTATTCGGGCCGGAAATTAGTGTTCAACTAGAATTGGATTGTGAAATTGATTCTTGCATAGCAGGTTCCCTAGATTATGTTTCCTCTACCTGATAGGGGTTGCCACATGATGTGTCTAGAAAAATTCTAAAATAATTTTGTTTTATCTAAGCTTTGATCTTTTGGCAGTTTAGTGCAGGTATTCTGGAACATGCTCTATACTTGTTTTTTAATTAAAATACCAAGACAAAATTTTCGCAATTACTTGGCTTGATGAAACCTGTTGTTTATTTGTAATTCACTATCAGCTATTATCAGGGAGCACGTTCTGTGTGAGTTCTTTCTCTAGGTTGCTCAATTTCTTAGTCATCTTTATGTAATTGTGTTGCTGGATTGGTTCTTAGAAATTACGCTGCCATTGTGGATGACTGAGGTGCTTATTTCATTTTATATGTGAAAGGCTCCAAATCCTTGAAATCTGTTGATTTAGACAAGGAAGTTGAGAAGTCTTCCAAGAGAAAGAGGAAGAATCAGTATAGGGGGATCAGACAGCGTCCTTGGGGTAAGTGGGCAGCCGAAATACGTGATCCACAGAAAGGGGTCCGAGTCTGGCTTGGAACTTTCAATACTGCAGAAGAAGCTGCCAGAGCGTATGATATTGAAGCTCGGCGGATCAGAGGCAAGAAAGCTAAGGTAAACTTTCCTGATGAAGCTCCAGTGCCTGTCTCGAGGCAGGCTGGTAAGATAAATCCTCGGAAGGAGCTCTCTAACCCTGTTCTGTGCGACACCACTTTTGTGAACAACTTGGACTTTGGATGTTATGATAACTTGGGCTTTTTTGAAGAGAAACCAACAAAACATCTTGGCTATCAAGATTTGTGCCCTACTCCTGGAGATATGGGGCCTAACTCATATGTCCCTCCAGCTGCTGCTGGTGCTTACTTCAATTCTGACCAAGGAAGTAACTCTTTTGAACCTTCAGATTTTGGCTGGGGAGAAACGTGTTCAAGGACTCCAGAAATATCATCTGTTCTGTCAGCTGCTGTAGAAAGTGATGAAGCTCAATTTGTTGAAGGTGCCTGCCCAGAGGAAAAACTTAAATCTTGTTCCAACATTTCAGCGCCTAACGATGGGAACACAGCCCCCAAGCTATCTGAAGAGCTTTCAACTTTTGAATCCCAGATGAATTTCTTCCAAACCCAACAATCGGAGGGAAATTTGGATGCATCAGTTGATGCCTTCCTCAATGCAGATGCAACTCAGGATGTTGAAAATGAAATGGACCTTTGGTTCTTTGATGAGCTTTCTTCTCTAATGAGAGGTGTCTACTAAGCTAAGAATGCTTCTATGGGGACTCTTTGTAAATAAAGCTTCACATGAGTGAAGTTCTCTCGTCTCTCCTCTCGAAGCAAGACTGAGTTACTTGCTGTAAGCATTTATTTAAAACTTACCAGTTTGATCTGTGTTTCGTTCTTCTTTTAGGCGTCTCTGGAGCAGGAGGATGGCAAAGCATTCAAGCGATGAGTAGATGTTGGTTATAGACCAATAGATAGGTAATTAGGTTATTAACAACTGTAGAGAACAACGTGAAGATTTCAACTTGGTTATTTGCTATGGCAAGTTGCTTTACATGGTCTGTTCTTTGTATTCATTGTTATGCATATGCTGGCTAAATATAGTTCACCTAGCCTGCTTGTCTGTGAGACTGACTGTATTACAATGCATTTTGTTGGCTATAGCAGTCCTGCAACAGAAATTAATTAATGTAAGTGGATGATTTAAGCCGTAAAGGTTGAAAGCAGAGATGCACGATCTTTTGATCGATTAAGAATTGAATTCACTGGAATGTAGTTATGTGTTGATCAGGATCACAATTTTGAAGGCAGATGTTAATGGTAGGACACCATGACAGCAGAGATATAGTAACAAAATCACAATAACTTTCTCATCTTGATCATTACTACTACTCCATTATATATTAGATGGCTTTAACATTTCGCTATTTCATGACTGCCAGTCCTTTCCCTCACCTCAGCTCAGGCTCCATATTTAATTCCTTGATGACTGCTCCAAATTCAAAATAATGTGGTGTATTTCTATTGCATAGTAGCTGCTCCCCACATGGAAAGTGAAATTCCCACATCAAGGCAGGTAGATCTTTTCTCCTCCTCTTCTCCTCCTCCTCTTCTTCTTCTTCAAGAATTGCTCTGCATCTATTTACATCTAAATACTAATCTGATATCCATTTTATGGCACAAAGTGTAATGTTTCTAGTCACTTTTTACATTTATTCACTATTTTTTTTGTTTCCTATCCGGTGTCTAATACCCGCATTAGGCTTCTGACTATAATTCGGATTTGTATTGCATAAGGCCTATTAAAAGGGGAAGCACTCGGGTGCAGATTTAGTGCCAAAAATATAGTGTATGTGAACTCATGGTCTCTCCGTTAAATTAGGTATTTTATGTACATATTCTCCAAAATTGATCTTATATTATTTGCTTGCTTTAATGCTCCAAAAGGATGAATGGTGCACACTTAATTGAATGTTGAGTTATTTACCTAGAAGAATAGGGATCAATTCCCACTTAATATTCTTTTTTCTTTTTTCTTCTTTTTTTAGTAGTGTACCCATATTCTAAAAATTCTAGACCCGTCTTTGAAAATACTGCTTATCAGGATTGTTTCCATTCCAAGGCTTGAATCCTAGACCTGTTCATTCATCCGCCATTCATTTCTTTTACCTCAAAGCGTTCTTATAGTAGTTAAATTTGTAGTAAGTAGAGCCCTTGTTTCCGGATACCTATACACCTCATTCGTGACTGCAATTATAGCCTCAAACATAGATATTCTTTGTCCTAACTACTTTAAAAACATTTTACAAATAACTCAGGACGTCGTAGTGATTATTGTATTTCTACACTTTGCCGTGAATCAATGTGAAAGGAAAAAAATGTTGGCGCATCATAAATCGGTTCTGAATTTGGAGAAATGTTTGAATTAGTCTTGGTTCGCCTTAGAAAGTCAAAATGCTAAAGTTCACATTGATTTGAGAATAATGATTTCGATACCTTAAATATTAGCAAATTGACTATTGTGATTCTCGTAATATGTGACTAAACTTATTTAATCTTCAATTAGTTAAATGTGTTTAATCCTATGTTACAAGAATTGAAGTGAAGCTTATCAATAATTGAGGAACTTAAAACACAACCATTCTTTTGTTAGATTTACTTTGGAGCTTAGCATTTTACCCTCTAAAAAGGAAAATAGTAAATTCAAAATGAAATATTCTTTTTCCACGAATTTGTTGGAGGTTGTGGACAGGGGCAGAGCTACAAGTCCGGATGTGGGTTCGGTCGAACCCAGTAACTGATAGAAACATAGGGTCCACCAAACTGTATAGAGAACCTGGTTCTCTATTAGTTCCCACAGAACACACACAATAAGAGATAAGTAAATAACACATCAGAGTTATATGTGAAAAACTCCCAGCTCACAGGATAAAAACCATGACCTACACTCGTAGGATTTTAACTTCACTACTGAGCAAACTTCAGATTACAAACTATTGTAACCTAGGAATTAAACTCTTAATCTCTCACTCACTTGTAATAACTCTATTACAAGCCTCTTTGTAATAACTCTATTACGAAGATCACAGCTCGACTAACTCTAGCTAAGACACAAACACAATATTTATGGTTTTACAAATGTTTTCCTACACAATGCTTTTGGCTAAGCTAAGTAGGATTACAAGTAGATCACTCTAATAAAGTTACAACACAACTAAGGACATGTGGTAACACACTACATGAAACTATTCCTTTGTTCTGTTGTTCTTTGTTCTTGAAGCCTTGATTATCACTTGTAAGATGACAGCACACTTGAGAGAGAACTTGATCAATTTTCGGATATGCAAGTGTGTGTTTTTCCTTTGCTTCATGTTGATAATATACAAGTGATGTAACTTGGATAATGCAAGCAATTATCAGGTACAAGGCATTCCCCAATAAAGTGACTGCTGCACTGTTGCGTATGTGCAGAGGAACAGTTGTAGCGACTTTACAGCTGTGGGGAGTTGATTGGTACAGTCAACAAGGGAATTATGTCCATCTGTTCCCTTTGTCGTCTCTTTGAGTCTAGTTGTTGGAACTTGTGCTCAACTTGAGATTTGTTGTTCTTGACCACTTTCAGAATGTGTAATAGGTTCCCGATCTGGTTCTTATCATAAAGTTTGTTAGATCATCAAAATATAAAAAGGCACATAACTTATCAATTTTTCCCTTTTTGATGATGACAACTTATAATTGAAGTTCCCCCTCAGACCCAGATCACCATACAATATTTCCTGTATTCCCCCTGAGAACCTATTCTTCATATCAAAATTTTATTCTCCCTTTTGGCATCATAAAAAGATTATGCATAAGTAATAAGAAAAAAAAAGTCCAGCATGGTTAACTCATGCCACACGTGTGCACACATGCATGGCTAAAAACAGAGCATAAGAGTAAAATATACATAGCAAAAGGACGAGATGCTCATTAATTTGAAAGATAAGAGAATAGAAATAGCAGTACCATTGTTATACAACAATTCACAAAAAAATAACTTAAAAGTACCAGCCATGAAAACAACAAAAAAGACCAAGATAGGATAGACATCATTGATTTGGACATTGGAAGGGGACTGTTTTAAGGAGCACTAGAAAGAGGAGGCAAGGGTTCTAAGGAGAATATCCATTCGAGCATTTGCAGATACTTGTTCGTTAAGCAGCCGCTCCTTCAAGTCCTCAACCTGTTTCTTGAGATCTGCATTTTTCTTAGTCAGGCGAGCAACCTCTGTGCCTTAGTGCACTGCTGGAACCAGGTGCCTTCTGGGCCTGACTAAGTTGCCCTTCAAGAATGGCATTCCGTGCCTTCATCCTCCTTATCTCCTCATTCGCAACATTCTGAGCATCAATCAATTAAGAGATAGTGGAATTGCTGCCGACACCTCCTTTCTTATCAATACACTCACATTCTTCTAAGGTGGTATTTGAGAAGGTCTGCTTGAGAGTTCCCACTGTTGCTTTTCCCAAAAGGACTTTGAAGAAGTTAAACACCTTGGTGAGCAAGAACTCATATGGCAAACCATGATTCCCATCCTTAAAATCTGCTACTTTCGTCATATGTTCTATCATGAGACCAAGCAAATTGATAGTGGTATAGACATCTAGTGCTTTCATGAGGAATATGTCTGCTTTTGACGTAATGGAACGCCTATTTGCACGTGGAAGCAAGACCTTATTCGCCATCTCGAACAAAAGTTGATACACTGGACGGAGGGCCTTCTTGTGTACCCGTTCCCCTTGCTGCACAACATTATCCTTCAGAATGACACTTTTGAAATTTGGAGAACAAGTCCCCTCAATGGATGAGATCCGTTGAGGAGGCACTCCCAAAATGTTCCCCAACACTGCCTCGTCCATCACAAAATCTACTCCGTTTACCTTTAAGCAGATGTTGTCATCTTCCACAGTGAACATACCTACGTAGAAACTACTCACCTCTTCCTCATACACCGTGGGGCTTTCACTGGTGAACAAGTGTGTCTACTTTTGAAACTCATAAATATCAACCAGTTGACGCATCCCTGTTATGTCAAGAATGTCAGGAGCAAATGTTCTGCCCCACAACAATCTCTGTTTTCTAAGGTTCTCGCTGCCTTCATCCTTAGACACACTCACTTTGACCTTCTTGGAGGAAACAGGTTCCTCGTTGTCACCAGCCTTTCGCTTCACAGACTTTCTCACATTTTTTTTCTTTGTAGATTTCTCAAACAATTTTTCACCAAACTTCTCAGAAAATTTTTTACACGACTTTTCTCCCTCAACATTTTCTACTTCCACAGTTTTCACAAATGTCTTTCTCCTTGGTTTTGAAACCACGGTTTTCTTAGAGTACTGGAGGCACTATCTCCTTATCAATATCAAAAACAAGTGCTGGAGGCACTATCTCCTTATTCACCAGTTTCCCTTCTTTCACAAGCTTCCTCATTTTCTTCTCTTCTTTGTTCTTCAGAATAGATTCAAGGGCTTTGTCACGACCCAAACTGAAGGGCCATGACTAGCACCCGACCACACTTGCCGAGCACCAATG